AACAATAAATTATGTATATTTCTACAGTTGCTTATTATTTTGACGAAATTGTTGACGATGCTGTTGCCGGTGATGAAGATGTTGCATAAGGTGCTGGTAGTGGTGGTTGAGCCACACATGTCGAACTTCGGAGCACTGAGCACTGAATAAGCCTCACAGACAATCAGCGAATATGAAGTAGATGGTTTGCCGGACCCAAATTCAGTTCGGGGCTCCGTTTATGTTTGCTCTAACAGAAAAGACATCAAAATTTTTTCAATTTACGCCCCACCCCAAAAACGGTCAACCCACCATCATCATCAACCGCCACAACCATATCGTCATCACCTTCGTCACCTTCATCAACTTCTTCTTCTCCATCATCATCATCATTGGTAGCATCATCGTCATTATCTGCGCTATTACCTCGTCCTTTGTTTTTTTTTCTCCCTATTCCAACAAACTGTACAATTTCGATACCATTTGTCTGAAGCCCCCTCGTTGTCTTACCTTAATCACCTCAACACTTTTTCCACCCGCTTCGTTACCATTGTCATTTAATTACTGCCACAATGACCACCATCGTCGCTACACCACTACAGTCACTACAACAAGAGCAGTAGCGATAGCAGAAGCCACAACTATAACAGCAGTAGTAAAAGCAACAAAACAATTCCTTAACTTTTCTCCAATTACATCGTTACCGAGGAGGAATATAGAACAAAAGAAGCCAAAAAACCTTAACCTTTTCTTTATACAGCTTATCATTGAAAAACGGATGCATTGAGATAGTCGATGCACATTGAAAAACACCAACTGTGAAGCCGGAAGAAAGGCTAGGTGAACAGTATATCAAAGTAATATTGCAATATATTATCCAGTTTTTTTTACTCACCTGTCACTACTGCTAAACTCTTGAACTTTTTCCTAAATAAGAAAAAGAAAAAGCAGTAAAAGTAGACAACTCAAATTATTCTTCTCTACCTTTTCTATTGTTTACTGTTTGTTTATTTTTTGAGTGTCTGTTCCAGTTACATAATTTTTTGAGATAAAAGAGAAAAAAAAGACAAAAATTAAAATAGGAATAAGAAGAAGAAGTAGAAGAAAAGAAGTAGGAGACGAAGATGACGACGGTTACAAAAAAGATAGAATAAATTGTTTTTTTTTTCATCTTTTTTTTTTTTTTAAAATGCCATAAAAATCGTCACCTCATCTTTTTTTTCGTATACTGAAACTGGTAAATACAGCAAACACACAAATACGCCACACGCATTTCATCTTAAGCTAATCGTCAATTCACCTTTGTTTTTGCTTTTGCTTTCTCTTCTTTCAAACCAATCATAATATAGTCTAATCTGAAGTTTTTTGTTAAGCAAAAAAAAAAAGATAAAGACAACGAACAATAAAGAAAATGCTAATGACAAATAATCTAGCTAAATTTATAAAATTAAAAACTAATTAGACTCTTTCAAGGGTTTTATTGTCGTTCATCGTTAAAAAGAAATTAATTTCATAGAATTGTAGCTGTTTGCCGTTTTCTTTCTAGCTTCTCCTTTTTTTTTCTGTTTTTTGGTCAACAACTAAAAGTGACCATAAACTGAAAAAGTCCAATAGTTTTTTTTTTCCTTTCAGTCATCACTGTATATTGCGCAACATTGACGACAACAAATAATACAGTCCCTTCTATGTTATTCACCAAAAAAAATGGATAGAAAGAAGATGAAAGGACGGCTAAAAACACTTCAAATTTTTTTTCGCTGTAACAATAACCGAATAACCGATCAGGAGAACTTTACGTAAAACAAATTAAAAGTAGACTATTTGGAAAATGATTCTATCTCTTTTGTTCCTTCTTCCTTCTACTTCTAGTCTCCTCAACTTTTATCCCAGTTACCCATAAATCTTTGTAACTATTTTTACTAAAACTCCAATTCTTCACTTATTGAAACATTCAAAAAGTTAATTATGCTCACTTTCAACAATTAGGTACACCTTCTTCATCTGGATTCTTGCTGACTGCTTGTCCCGAATTCTGTGAGGTAATAAATGCTCAAAGTGTGAAAAAAACACAAAATAATAAAGTTTAATTATTAACCAAACCGTTTTCGTATTTTCCATCTTCGAAACTTCACCGTCTTTCTTTCCGTTTTCTCTTTTCTTTTCGCTCAACCTAATTTCCTAAAATTTTTAGATGTACCGTATGAGACCCACATAATTACTTTAAGTTTGTTTCTGCTTATTCTTTCTTTGCCTAGTCTGCACAGACAGTATCGATTAAGCGATATATTTGGTATTAGACTGTGAAAATATGCATGAATTAAGCTGGATTTGAGCACCTTCTAATACCAGTAACAAGAAGCAACGACAGCTTATCATCATCATCATCGTCATCATAGGCTCTTAAGTGCTGCAAGAAAAAGAAGATGTTTTCAAGTAAATCAAACATTATTCTATGGTACACAAACCT